GACCAGTTTTCTCCGAAATATTGAAGAGGACAGGAGGAGCAAGAAATAGAGTAGACACCAGGAACATCTGTAGAGGAGGAGAGGTATGAAACGAGATTAGTGCGAAGAGTGTTAGTCTGGCGGAAGGTAAGCTTGATGTCTAAGGGACGGAGAGAATTGTTGAGATTAGAAAGACCGGAAATGTAGGGAAGGCAGAGGATAGAAGAGTTCCCAGGAGTAGAGAGTTTGGGAAGAAGAAAAATTACGTTTAGCACGTGAGAGGGCAGAGTCTATGAAATGGGAAGGGTAGCCAAGACGGGAAAACGAATTATGAAGAGTGGAAATTTCTGCTGGAAGGAACCTGAGGATCACAGATGCGGAGGGCATGGAGAAAGAGGGAATAAAAACACTTTTTCTTGACAGGGAAGCATGATAGGAAAAGTAGTGAATGTACATGCCCACTGTGCATAGGTTTTTGGTAAACGGAAAAGGAAAAACCTGTATCTGAGGGGTGGACATGGACATCAAGGAAAGGAAGAAAGGGAATTAGATTCCCATTCAGCTGTAAACTTAATGGAAGGGGCAAGATTATTAAGAGCTTCAAGAAAAGGTTGGAAGAGACTGGAGTCATGAGGCCACAGAGCGAAGATGTCATCCACATAGCGGAGCCAGAGTGAAGGTTGCACATCGAGGGTAGGAAGAAGAACAGTCTCGAAGTATTCCATGTAAAGATTAGCAAGGACAGGAGAGAGAGGAGAGCCCATAGCAACACCGAAGGTTTGAGAATAATATTTCCCTTGGAAGGAAAAGGAGTTAGAGTCCACACAGAGGCGGATAAGATCAAAAAAGACATCAGTAGGTATAGGGAGATGTAGAAACCCTTCATGGGCCTTCTCTCTAATGAAATCAAGGACATCATCAAGAGGGACATTGATGAAGAGGGACTCAACGTCAAGACTAAGCATCTTACAGGTTGGAGAGAGCGAACCCGTTTCAATGAAGTCTTGAGAGTGACGGAGTGGGCAGAGAAAAAGTACCAAGAAAGGGAGTGAGGGTTTTGGCCAGCCAAGAAGCAAGAGAATAAGAAACAGAACCTCTAGAGGATATGATAGGACGAAGAGGAATATCAGGTTTATGATTTTTGGGGAGGCCATAGAAATAGGACAGAGAGGGACAGATGACACGAAACCGTTGAACAAGGTCAAAGTCAGGAGAACAGAGGTCGGAGAGAGTCCTTAGTTTCTTGTTGAAAGTTCTCTTGATGCGATCAAGAGGGCTGGAAACGAGAGGAGTGTAGGTGCGTGAGTCAGAGAGCAAGACATCAGCTTTACGGAGGTAATCCTCGCGATCAAGGATAACTACCGAATTACCTTTGTCAGAAGATAGTATGACAATGTTAGTGTTGGATTTAAGAGAAGAAAGGGCAAGTTGGTAACGGCACGGAAGGTGGTGATTCTTAGAAAAAAGACTAACAAGAGCAGGAAGGAGAGCGCCACAAAAAGTGGACAAGTCAGGAAGATTATGGGAGCGAGATTGACGAAAGGAATCAAAAGAGCTAATCAGGGCAATACCAGCGCGAGGAGTAGGCAAAGTGGCAAAGGAAAGGCCAAAACCAAGATGTTCAAGCTCATACTGAGAGAGTGAGACAGAAGACAGGTTAGTAACACAGTCAGTAAGGGAGAATTTAGACCAAGGGCTAGCTGAGATGAGACGTTGAAGTTTATTCTGTAGTTTGGAAGAATGAATTTGTGCATTCAGACGAGCAGTGTCAAAGGCAATGGTAGAGAGAAGGTTACAGAGATCTTGTGGTAGAGCCACAAAGAGAGCACGTTGACGTTGACGGAAAGTAAAGAAGGCATCTTCAACCTGTGATTTAGTAGAAAGAATGAGCTGTTGAAGTAGGAGATGGGCATGATCAGGAAAGGGAGTGCCCAGTGGGTTGGTTTTCAGGAAGTGGGAGAAGGAAGGAGGCAGAACTTGTTCAGCAAGACAGTCATGTAGGAAGCGAAGCTGATTCTTACGACGCCTGGTAGCAATAAGAGCAGCCTCATAAGATCGAAAGAGGGGTTTAAAAGAGGGAAGAACATTAAAAAACCGACAAGTTGAAGAATTGAGACACTTATGCAACACTTGGGAATCTTTACCCATTTTACTCCTTACCCATTTCTACTTTGTATTGGACTGATGAAGCCACTGTGTGGCGAAACGTTTCTTCAATAAAGATTCCCAAGTGTTGCATAAGTGTCTCAATTCTTCAACATTAAAAAAGTTGGAGAGAATATGACGCTTAACTGCGGGGTCCATAAATAACAAAAAAAAAGGCACAATACTGTGACTGGAACGATACACAAATAACCTGCACATAAAAGAGAGAAGCTTACGACGACGTTTCGGTCCGACTTGGACCATTTACAAAGTCACACTAACCAGAAGTAACGAACGAACGAACGAAAGTTCAGGTAAGATCCCAAATGGGATGAGCAGGGAAGACGGGACAGGCGAAGAACAGCGCTGGAGAGGAGTGTTCTTAGTTGTAGAAATAGAGCCAGGGCTTAACCCAGCAGCTAAGTCGATCGTGGGACAGACATTGAGAACACACATAGCAGGCTCTTCTGTTGGGACTCAGGTGGGTGAGTAGGGAAGTGTGGACAGACGAAGAATAGTCAGTGAGAGGAAGGTCTTGAGTTGTAGATAAAAGAGCCAGGGCTAAACCCAGCTGCGTGGCACTGCGAGGCAGTGTAGCAAGGGCATGTTGAGGACAAGGAGGAGAGAGCAGACTGCAGACAGTGCTCGCTGGCTGATATGCTTCAGGCTGAGGTGAAGAGCTGGTGTGGACGTCAGGTGTCGGGAGGCTCAAGTTATGTGTTGCGGAAGTGTGTTGTGTGTTTGTCTACACTTCGCTGGTGATGGAGCCACTCTTGAGTCTTTTGAAGTCTCTCTTGGACATGTGGAATAGTTGCATTCTGAGGTTGGAGCAGTTCAGATTCGTCACGAGGTAAGATAGTGCGTTTTCAAAAAGGATTTGGTGAGGTTTGGTGCAGTGTTTCTTAACAGCTCCTTCTTTCATTAAGTGGAGCATATTAGCTGCGCTCATTTCGGTTGGGAGGTTGGGGGTGGTGTAGAAGGTTAGAGACCCATTAAAGGCTTGGCTTAGGTAACGGTTGCCTGTGGTTTCTTCGGTTACTTCTTCGACTACTACTTCGTCGTCGTCAGAGGGTTGTTCATAATGTTCTGGCTCTATTTCGTCTTCTGTGACTGTGTTGAGAGGAAGCAGGGAGTGTTGGTCGGTTGTGGTTTGTTGGGCTGGTGGTGGGTGGTGAAAGGTGGCAGTAGACGGTGGTGTTGGTTCTGGAGTAGAGTCCTGGTCAGAGATACGAGTAGGACCAGGGGCTGAGGTGAAGTTAACTATGTCTGGAATTACCTTGAGGAGGTCTTGTGATGGTGGCGAGTCTGGAAAGTTGAAGTTTGGCATGTTGTTAAGGCGAAACAGTTCATTGAGTGTTGTGTTGAATGAGCCAGGGTTTGCAGCATTAGTGAGGTGTGCATACATCATACAGTATAGCACCTTGGATGGAGCAGCGTCAGGAAAAGCAGAGAGGGACTGGCTGGGTGGAGATGATTGTTGTGTAGCTTGAAGGAGTTCGGTGGTATCTGAGTGAATTTTTGCAATGGCGGCGTATGTTGACGATTTAGGGTTGTTCTTGGTTTCTTCAATGATTTTCTTAGACAGGACTTCTTTACGTAGAGGGCATTTTGCTGCAAGGGTGTGGTGAATACCCTTGCAGTTGAGGTAGGTAGGAGAGGTAGTGGTAGTAGAACATTCCTTGAAGTCATGGCGTCTTTACCGCAGTTTGTGCAGTACTTCTTCCCTTTCAGAGGACAGTCAGGCGTTGAGTGGTGATAGGAGTAGCAGGTCCAGCATGGCGAGATGTGGGCGAAACGTTCGGGTTCTATGTGACTTGGATGGATATGATAGTAGGAGATAGCTAGGCCATCAGACAGTGCTCTAGTAGCCATATCGATGTTGGAGAAGGTTAGCTTGATCATTGTAGAGGCGTTGGGGATTTTGGTGATATGTTCAATCGACGCCCAGGTATTTTGTTCCTCGATAGAGGTCTTGAGATCCTCAGTCGATAAAGAAGTGACGAGCTTGTCCAGCCGATTGAACGTAAACATTGAAACGTTTCAGTGGCTCCAGCAAAAAAGTGATGAAGGAAGATGGTGAACTGTCAGTCCTGAGGCGTTTTCATAGAAGTGGTCGCGATCAGCTGATGAGGCTTCCATAATCGACATACAGACGACGATGAATGAGCTTCTTATCGCGAGTGGATGGCTAGTAAATTTAACCTGTTAGGGCAAGTATTTGCATCAGCATCAAGGGAAAGTTTTGTAGTAGAGTCTTTTTATTATCTCACTGTTGGATTGATCCTACACGGTTTGCACAACATAATGAAGGAGATAATGTCTTCAGCGCTGGATAGATTGAAAGCTGTAAGCCTCTTCACCTAGAAAAGGCTGGTCTGCCTTGCTCGTATAGTCTAAAGTCAAGCTAGGACTTCCAAGGGTATTGCCAAAAGGTGAGGGTAGATTGGTAAAGCACTGCAACCTTGTTTCAAGGTTCGGGATCAGGTTTCGAGTCTCCTCAGCCAGAGAATCAGTGATTTGTATATATTTCCGACAAGTCTGCTCTTGCGAAATTTCCTTTGCATGTGTTAATATCTCTAGTAAAGCTGATGCATGCAGGGGATGAGATGAAAAGCTGTAAGCCTTCTCCCTGAAAGCTGGCTGCCTTGGATCAAAGTCTAGCGCAAGCTGGACTCCAAGGTATTGTCCAGTGTGGGTAGATTGGTAAAGCACTGCATACCTTGTTCCAAGGTTCGTAGGTTCGAGTCTCCTTCAGCCAGAGATCAGTGTTTGTGTATATTTCGCCTGCTCTTGCGAATTCCTTGTATATATATATTAAATAAAGCATAACAATATTTTCTCTTTTTTTCCTGGCAAATAATGACCAGCCTCCCCAGGTGAGTTGTTAACTGTGGTGGTGCGTCGGGGTGACGGGCAGCAGACTGTACAAGTGTGGGACTGCTTCACCAACGAACAAGACTTACTAGTGAACCTCACAGATAGTAACACTCTACAAGTTACATCTAATGAGTACATCAACGTTGCTTACGACTGTCCTAACAGTAAGTTGTGTGTCTGTGTGTACTCATCTAATTGTGTTCACCTAACTGTGTTTACAGGGGTCGAATCACAGCTCCTGTTCTCGCCTCATTACCGGTCTCTACTAGGTCCACTCTCTCCCTGCTCCATGAACTTTATCATACCGATTTTTAAAGGTATGTATGGATCCTGCCTCCACAACATCACTCTCCAGATTGTTATACTTCCTGACAACTCTGTGACTGAAGAAATACTTCCTAACATCCCTTTGACTCATTTGAGTTCTCAACTTTCAGCGAGAAGTTGTCCGTATTTTCACTCTGAACACTTAAGACCCAAAGTTACATTTTTTGGGTTATCCTGAGTTCTAGTTTGATCAGAACTGAGAGGAAAACTTGCTCGCTGTCACTTCGAGCTCCATTACTTCAAGAGTATAAGGCGGTGACTAGCTTGCTAGTTCCCTACTCTCCACCCCACCACCTCCTCCTACCCCATCCTAACTCCAGAGTTCCCCAACAAATACACTGGCCTAACCACACACACACTACTTACACTGCTGTCCTACCTATCCTGTCTTGTTTTTCGGCAACTTCATCTCTGGCGATTTAAAACAAGGCAAGGAGACTATCCAGTGGCCCGTGTGGTAATTTAAACTCTGATCGATCATTGTCTTGGGCCGTCCTCCTCACTACTCGAGGCCTGGCTATCTTAGGGGCTGACCTTCATAAGTCAGCTGAAGTAGAGTTGTTTGGGAATGACACATAGGAAAGTTTTTCTTTTTACAGCATATCATGTGTGTCAACTGTATCTTACTGGACATCATGCCGAAAATAAGAATAAGAATTCGTGTCCCTGACAACCAGAAGTCCAAGAAGGAAATATTTGACTGTATTTGTACCAATTCCACTGTTGCAAATGTGAATGTATTCCAAACTCACTCTAATGCAGTACTTCTACTCTTCTCTGAAGAGGAGATGCTCTAATTCCTCAAGAATGATGTTCTTGAAATATTAAATAATCTGTGTATCATCCCCATTCCACTTGATAGCTACCAAGCACAACGTACTGTCGCATGAATCAACAGTTTCATGAGAGACTGCACTGCCGAAGAACTTGTTGAAGGTTCTTAAGGCATATAAATTTACCAAATGTTCAAGAGTCCCGCAAATATTAAAATTAATCCTCGAGACACCGGAAGGAGCCAAAATTATATGTCAAAATGGTATGAAATGCATTGTAAATAGGTGTAAACCAGGCCAAATCTCCATGGAAAGATTTGTCAGTGTCACACAATGTTTTAAGTATTATGAGTTTGGTCATAGCACAAACAAATGCAGCAGCCAAAAAAACGATTTGCTGTATCTGCTCTGGTGAGCATGTTTTCAGGGACTGTCCTAACAGAAACAATCCCAAGTATGCTCTTTGTAAAGGGAAACATCATGCTGTCTTCCCTCGCTGCCCTGCTAGGAAATCTACAATCCAGCAAATTCTGGATGCTAAGATACAGGCAAACATCAAGAAAACTACTCCAAAATTGTCCCAGGACTCCTTCCCTAATCTACCTGGATCTGGTGGGATTCCTACTGCTACCTCTACCAATTATAATGTTTGGAATTCTTCCCCTCCTGCAGCTCCCCACACTATCCCTAACCCCAACATACACCAAGCCCAAGGACCATCATCGATCCCTATGTCCCCCTGGTCCTCAGAGGTTATGTTATGAGAGGTACATTAAAATTCATGTTAGCCAAGGAGATAGCAGATAGCAATGTTAAGCTCTGCTCCTCTATTTTAAATGATTTGTTAGTAGCTAATGGAGCCAGGCCCTTAATCATCCCAAATAATGTTAACTCAGTAATGAACCAGTCCCCTCACGACAGGAAGCATGAGCCCTCCTCCTCAACCATACATAGTCAAACATCATCACACAACCAAGGCCCAGCCGTAATGGAAGACCCAGTTGAAACAACTCAGACCAGTGAGTTCAGACCAGTGTCTGAACTTGCACCAGACACTGATGTACAATCTACCGCTGTAGAAGCTGACCCAAAAGTACAAGTAGTTTCCAGTGATAACCCAAGTGGACTTTCACAATTCCACATAGAGCTCCCACTGTTTCCTAAAGTAAGTGTTGTGAATATGTCGACTGATTCTGTGAATGACTTGCCACAGTTGTCAAATGATGAATCTGACGCATCATTTAATATCACCAGCAGAAGTGAGGAAGAAGAAATAGCCGGTACACAGAAAACCATTCAGGACTACACTCCTCCCCTTGATGAGTAGGGAGAGCATGCACACACCTTGTAGCTATAATCTCAGACACCAACTCTTTGTACGCAGCAAAAACGCAAACTTCTCGAAATAATGGGGATTACAATTTTACAAATTAATATTCAACATTTCTTTAACAACCACTATCTTCATGAAGTTGAACTACACAATCACAACCTTGACATCATCCTTCTGAATGAGACAGCTGCGAGAGCAGACCAACATATAAAGATACGTGGTTACTCTGCTGTCGAGAAATCGAGAGGGCCCTTTAGTGGTGTGGTCGTCCTAATGAAACTAGGATATGCGTTTCGTAACATTCATATTGACGAAGACAGCATTATAACAATAGAACTGACGACCTCATATAGTCAGTTAATAGTTGGAATTGGACATTTTCCTCCAAGACAGCCGACCTAGAAAATGTACAGAGAACTTTCACGGCGCGCATAACGGAGATAAAACACCTCAATTACTGGGAGCGCTTGAGGTTTCTAAACCTGTATTCCCTGGAACGCAGGAGGGAGAGATACATGATTATATACACCTGGAAAATCCTAGAGGGACTAGTACCGAACTTGCACACGAAAATCACTCACTACGAAAGCAAAAGACTTGGCAGACGATGCACCATCCCCCCAATGAAAAGCAGGGGTGTCACTAGCACGTTAAGAGACCATACAATAAGTGTCAGGGGCCCGAGACTGTTCAACTGCCTCCCAGCACACATAAGGGGGATTACCAACAGACCCCTGGCAGTCTTCAAGCTGGCACTGGACAAGCACCTAAAGTCAGTTCCTGATCAGCCGGGCTGTGGCTCGTACGTTGGTTTGCGTGCAGCCAGCAGCAACAGCCTGGTTGATCAGGCGCTGATCCACCAGGAGGCCTGGTCACAGACCGGGCCGCGGGGGCGTTGACCCCCGAAACTCTCTCCAGGTAAACTCCAGGTATAGAGTCCATTAATCTACACCAGATACTGAATAGAAATGTTCCAACAATCCTGGCAGGAGATTTTAATGCCCATCGCCCCGCACTCTTCAACTGCCGCGCCGACCATCCTCTGGGTAACTTAAAGGGAAAACAACTATTTAATATAATGACAGCAAGAAATCTATTATTCCAAAGCCCATTCTTTAAGTCATATGTAGGCTCTCATCCGGGGACACCTAATATAGTCTTAACCAACAAAGATTGCGACTTATACCATTGCAGAGTCATCCCTGGTGGAAACTTAGGAACAGACCACATCTCTGTTATAATAACGCTACAAGCTTCGCCATTTAGAATACCAACTCCTCCGAAACACAACCTAAAAACTCCAAGATTTGACCCCAGGACTACCTATGCAATGACCTTACTGTTTCGCTTGAGAACAAGCCTTCAACTGCAATTAAAGAGGCAATCAGTTCCTTCCACGAAAGAATCATAGAGGACACTCATGCAAGTCGCCAATTAAATACATCAACGATCAATCAGCAATATAAACCAACCAGGCAAATTAGGGACTGCATAAAAAATTATTAAGCAGAGTGTAGAAGTCACCATCAAACGAGACAGCTCAAAAGGGCTGTACTACAGAGGTTGAGAAAAGACTTAATTACCCTGATCACACAACACAAAACTGAATTATGGAAATATCTTGTTCTTCACGCTAATCAATACAAACGTCATTCTGGAGCAAGATCCACCAGCTTCTAGGGGCAAAGCACAAGGCTGCCCATTATCTAATACATTCCTTCACCGATGACGATGATGAGGAAGTTGATATCAAACTTGATGACCCACAAGACCGAGTCAATCTGATTGGTGATGTGTGGGAGAAAATTCTCTAACACAATAACAGTAGAAAATTTAATAATAACCATTACTAGTGAGTCAACGAATGGAGAAACGACACCCGAGCTGACCTCCAACCAATACCTTTGATTGATTCATCTACTCTTGAAGATGAGCACCCCCTTACAAAACCAATCACACAGAGATGAGTCAAGTTATAGGCAGAATGAGTAATGAAGCCCCTGACCTCTCAGGTATAACAGTGAAACAAGTAAAGTTCTTACCTAGAAATTGCAAAATGTCTCTGGTATCTTTAATGTCATCTTGGCCTCGGGACACTTTCCAGTGGCTCTTAAGACAGCAAGTATGATATTAATTACAAAACCCAGTAAAGACAAACATAAACCGGAGAACTAAAGACCTATCTCATTACTTGAAGTCACTGGTAAACTCCTTGAGAAATCACTTCCAACAGATTAAACTACTACTTGGGATACAATCATTTCTTCACTAAAAAACAGTATAGATTCAGGACCCACAGATAGACCAAACATGCTATAAATATCTTCGATGTTGTGGACAGCTTGAGGAAACAGGGCAACCTTGCCCAAATTGCAACTAGGGTTATACACAAAGCATTTGACAGCTTCTAGCACGACGGACTCATATTTAAATTTGTAGACCTTCCTGACCACGTTAGGGCCCCCAGACTGAATTGTTCCTAATATGTAGCCCCTTTCGCCCATTTTGCCCATTCCTTTCATTTCCTCCAATCCCCACCGGTTTTTGATGAACAATACAACTCCTCCCCCCTCTCTGCTTCCTCTATCTTTTCTCAGGATCTGAAATCCAGATGGAAAGATTGCATTCGTTATCATCCCTGTGAGTTTCGTTTCAGTGAGCGCTGATGTCTGGGGACATCTTCATTCTTTTATGCCACTCCTCACATTTATCTGGTATTCTGTCCACATTT